ACCGAGGCTAGCGGCTAATTTAAATTTCTTATTCAAGGAAGACGAACCGGACATTTCTGAACGAATAAGACGCGCCCACGCCGCTGGTTTTAGAGCAGTAGAAATACCTTTTCCTCATTCAGAACTTCGTAATGTTATACAAGCTAAGGAGGAAACTGGAATACAAATAGTTCTTATCAATATTGATCTCGGCGACTCAAAGTTCGGGACTGCGAGTCTACCACAATGTGAGGAAAAATTTAAGCTGCAACTCAATGAAACAATTCAATTTGCAAAGGCAGTGGAGTGCAAAAAGATTCATATAATGGCTGGTCTTAGATTAGGAAGCGCAACTGATCACTTGAATGTCTACAAAAATAATTTGAAATATGCTTCTGAAGTACTGGAGAAGGAGGGAATAGTAGGTCTGATTGAGCCAATAAATAGAATAGCTTTGCCAACATACTTCATGAACTCGTATGAAACAGCTTGTGACATAATAAGGGAAATAAACAGCAAGCATATTAGATTGATGGTCGATATATATCATTTGCAACATATTCGGGGAAATATAACCGACGCCTTCTCCACATTCAGGGATATTATTGGACATATTCAAATTGCACAAGTTCCACATCGACATGAACCAGATGTTGCTGGCGAACTAGATTTTTCATACATTTTTGGGTTAATAAAATCAAGTGAATATGAAGACTGGATTGGATGCGAATATAAACCGAAAACTACAACACTAGAAGGCTTAGGTTGGATTAAAAAGTATGAACATTTGTTGTAATTGCAAATATTAGTAGTATGTCGCAGGAGTCGCAATGGTAGAGCTCAACATAATATTTTTCATACACTTCGGATTTCTTATTTTTACCATTAAAATATGTATAACTGCGATTTGCTTTTTTTTTTTGTTTTGAAATGTATGTGCTTTGTCTTAACATAACCCGCGGGACTTTATGAACTATGTACATTTAATTAAATAACTACATTCGTACTGGAATAAAGTTACAGGATAATCTATACTAATATATATTTTGAAAGGCGTTTTTTTTCTGTTCGCAAAGCTCGAGATCGGCTGCACCGATTTTTGTGCAATTTCGGTTATAGGTTCTGGATGCGCTTCTCATTGTCTTAGGCAAAACAAAAAAGTTCAAATACTTCCTAAAAATGGAACTGCAGGACTTCAAAAATCCTATAGAATCTAACATACATGCCAACATAACAGCGGTGCTCAGCGCTCTTTGCTGAAACCGAATTTTTCATACTCCATATCTCTGGAAGTGTTCATGGTAGAGTTCTGGAACTTGGTATGGAGATATATGAAATCCATCGCATACTCTTGGAGTAAAATATGAGCTATTGGAAAAGGGGGACGTGACACCTCCCATACAAATCGAATTTTTCATACTGCATATCTCTGGAAGTGTTCATGGTAGAGTACTGGAATTTTATACGGTCGTCGCACCTACCATACAAGTCGAATTTTTCTTATTGCATACCTCTAGAATTGTTCGTGGTAGAGTACTGGAACTTGGTGTTTAATTAATCGCATAGTCATGGAGCAAATATGGAGCTATTGGACAAAGGGACGTGGCACCTACCATACAAACCGAATTTCATACTACATATCTCTAAAAGTGTTCATGGTACAGTACTGGAACACTTCGTATGGAGATATATGAAATTAATCCCATACGCATGGGCCCTTTGAAAAGAGGGCGTAGAAAAGTACAAACATACTCACTTTTACTTATCTTTAAATGTGTGTATATAATTCTTCTGTAGGTATATTTGTGAGTGAAATCCTAAATGGCTGGAGGGATTTTAACAAAGTTTTCTGTGTTTGTTTGAGTGGGTGTCTGGATAGTTTAGTTTCACAATTTAATTCGCCAGTTGGCGCTGGAGTTGAGTTATTACTGAACATCTTTTTCATGATCCGATTTGGCGAATATTCAAAACATGTATTGGAAACGGTAAAGGCAGTCCAATTGCCAGGCGTTGCTGAGGTCAAGTTATTATTAAAAATCGACAAGTGAGAAAAGATGCCGTAAATGTCGAGACTAAATCGACCTGTTGCACCATTGAGTACATATACCGAACTCTCGTGTTTCACGATTGGCTCAATGGATGTGATTTGCCAATATTCATTCATTCGAAGATACCAGGGTTGAGTTGTGCAGTTGTAAATCTCAAATCACCACCGGTCGAAATACCTTAAAAGCCAGTTTCATGAAAAAAATAATTTTTCGTTTAAATTACTTTCGCGAAACTGGCTTTTAAGGTATTTCATCTCAGTCTATATATGTATATTTTGTATTTCTGTTTAACAAGGATACGCATTCATTTGCCACCAACTATAAACAACAAATGAACACCAAACCATAGTCTTAGTCGATGAATGTGCCAGTACAAATCGTAAATGTGGATTGTTGGACTAAAATGTTTAAATTAAAATTCAAATTTAGGGCGGGACGAAGTTCGCCGGGTCTTCTAGTAATACGTAAGTTTCTCAATTGCTGTCGCTATTTATCGCTGACTCCGAGTCTACCTTATTGATCTGCTAAATTTCTTTTTGGGATAACAAATTTCCTGATACGTATTTACAACCAATTCCGTATTATGCTTTATGCATTTTTTTCTAATCTCCTAACTCCACAAAAATGCTTCGATAAATAGTTTTTGTAGCTTTGTTTGATTTTATTCTTTTCTTTATATTTGCTCTCAGTTCACATAATAGCTGTCAATCTTTTGTAGCTTTTGTTGAAAAGCTTTTCTTTTGTTCGCCTCCTAATTTCGCTATCACTTTAATTGTTTGTTATTTTGTTTCTTATTGTGATTTTATTTTCTGCTGAGATTTTTTGTCGTTTTTGATAACTTTTTATTCATCTCATGCTCTAATACATGCATTATGTCGTATGCCGTTGTTGTTGCTCATTGCGAAACAAGTTTTATTCGCTGCTTTCAATTGTTTTGCAAATGTCAAAACATCTCAAAATTAAAAAAAAAAAAATAAAAATTAAAAAATAAACAAAACCTTTTCAGTCAGCGAGCTCCTACTCCAAACTGATTGAAGCAATTAATCTTTAATGTTTTCCAAATATTTACACGGGTTTTGGCTAACCGTTTACTAAGTGTTTCGCCAGCAAAGACGTCTGCAAGTGGCAAAAGTGGAAAAATTAATTAAGCTAGCTTTCCCTGTACGCTGCAATCATTTTTCGAAAAATGTATTTTTTTTTCGATTTTTACGCTAGATTTAGCTTCGAATTTCAATTAAGAAAAAAAAAAGCAGTTGTTGCTTAAAAGCAGCCTAAGCATGATTAATGATAAAAAACGACAAGGTGTCCATAATTAGTTGCCCATTTAAGTGTGCATCACTGTGCTTTTGCAATAATAAATACGACGTAAAAAAAAACATATGTTCACAATTTCATAATTTTTGTAATTTTCGCTCATAATTACGCTTACTTACCTTGAATCGGAATGTCAATTCCATACTTTCAAGTGTTATGAAATGATCGCACTTGCTTTTTCTGTATGTTTATATGTATACATACATACAGTTGTCCACAAAATAATAGGAGTGCGATATTTTTACCAGTTTTGGCTATTTGTCTTTTGTTTATTTAATGTTTATTATTTT